TCTTTCCCCTCTGCCCCGCAACACCCCTTTCTCCCTTGTTCTCCCTGTGACAACTTTGTTAACAACTAGTTTTTAAGATACCAGGTAAGAATATTAGAGGTTCCTGATATTCTTATCTGAGGAGTTACTTCACAAGGGTTTGTTTAAAAAGGGATAACTCTCCTCTTTCCCCCAGTGGCTGAGAAATTGCTCCCTTTGGGGATTGGTTGCTAAGTTTTCATCCTAGTTAAAATCAGGGCAGCAAGTCTTTGTGCTGCCAGAACAAGGGCACAACACAAAGAATTGGCTCTGTTCCGTTTCCCTGAGAGTTTAAGGAAACTGTCAGGAGGACCTATTCAGTCCTGGATTGGTTCCATACAAATCAGAAAGCTTTTTCTAGGAGGTTGATAATTTAAAAAAAAAATCCAGCTTATTTAGGTTTTACTCCAGGGAATGTAGAGAATAATAAAAAAAAAGAAAAAAGAAAAAGCAAAAAGAAACATATCTGCTTTCTATTTAACATACAGGGAAAATTGAGGAAGCCGGTCAGTGACTTTCAGGTCAAACTGTGGAAATCTGACTAAGCTATCTACCTACATGAAAAAGCAAAAACTGAACTGCTGAACAATGGAAAGAAAAAAATTGGTGTCTTGAGCCCTACCTTGAGGTAGGACACACCAAGGGCCAGGAGTCTCTCTTTGAGAAAAAAAAAAAAAATAGCATTTTGTAGTCTTTTTAGAGGGATCGTAACCATTTTGCTGCTGAATGTAATTGAATGGAATACCCAAATAGTTAAGCCAGTGAAATTTAGTCATCTTATTTAAGTGATAATATAATGAGGAGATGATGTTTCAGCCACTCCTGTCATTTAAGGAATTAAAAGTGAAGACAATATGGCCATATTCTTCTGATCCTATTTTCATAAGATCTGGTCCTATACTTGTTCACCTTAATAAAAAGGCCAATTGATTGAAATTGAGTCATATTCAGGAAGTGGGGGGTTTGGAGATGACTCATATCCACAACAACCTTGCAAATAGTCACACTTCCAGGATGAAGGACATTCAGTTAGATGAGTAGTAAGAATTTCTGTCACTTATGAAGCAATGGATCATCTCCTCAAGAAGGCTGGTGAAGCTATCTGCAAGGATGTTCCTGGTCCATTAGGAAATGGACCAATTTCTAGTAACCCTCCTTCTGCTGGTAGATTTTTATATGAGTTTAGTATTTAATGGGAGAAGTGGTCCTTCAGCATAACTCATATAAGCTATAGTAATAAGAACAGTTTAAAGTTCCATGTGTTTAAGTTTGACAATAATCACAGAATTCCCTGATGTGAGCTGTAGAAAACCAGTAGCAAAATGGTTCACTGCACAGGGAAAATGAGTGGCATTTCATGAAATGAATTAACTGATACCACAATATTAGTTCAAAAAAAGGAAAGGCAAAAATTGAAACTAAAAAGAACTTTCTTAGGGGAGCGAAGGGGGGCAGGAAGGAGGCGGGGAAGAGTGTTTCATGCTTATCAATGTGATGTTATCCTGACGATGTATACCCTTTAGGAGCATGCGACTGATTGTAAAAGTATTACGTACAGAGATTCAAATGACACCTTTGGAAGCGAGAAGTGTGACAGACTTAATGAGATTTGAGATCCAAATAGATGCTGAACTCAATATGACAGCAGCTGGGAGGACGCTAATCATTCTGCTTACAGAGACCAGTCTTTGTGATT